TTTTTTTTATCGTTTCTCTTGATCTGTTCATAATCATATTGTCTGTACGGTCTGTTTCAATATTTATTTTTTTCCATTTACGCAGAATGTATGTATTTTTAATATTGTATAGTACTCACACCATATTAATTAATTTATTTCAAATGTTAAACGTGAGGACTTGTTATTGGCTCACTGTTACCTACGCCTATTGTTATTTTTATCCATTTTTATATGCTGTAAGTCCTCCATGAATTATAAATAAATAAATAAATAAATAAATAAATAATGATTTGCCAAATAATATTAAGGAATGTCAGTCAATTGCCATGTTCAAAAATAGGTTAAGAAAATATGTATCTGAAAATATTTATTAATACCGTTTGGTCAGAACTCTGTATAATATATAATTAGTATGCTATAATTAGTCATTTAAGCTCATTGTAAGTGAACCATGTTGTTTATGAGTGAATAAACAATAATTAAACTTATATCGTAATGCGCATATCTTTAATATAATATTTTGAAAAGTATAAAACCTCGTCGGACGCGACGCAGATAGTAACCATGGAGCCCATGTTATTGTTCTCGATAGCCTTCCTACATCTTAAAGGGGAGGGCACAACACTGCGTTGCAGCAACGCACTGCAAAAACGACGTCGCACATCAACAAAACATGAGAACATATCGTACTACAAGATGCTAACCATCAGTTTAGTACGATTGATCCTATAAATGCACCAACGACACAGGAAAATGTGCAAAGTCCTGACAAAAATATCTATTTTGATGCAGCTACGATCATAAATAGCCACGGTACGTTGTGCAACGCCATAGAAGTTTGGTGATCCGTCGTTGGAAGCTCTGCGTGTTTTGTGGCTTCGCCCTTGCTACGTAATCTCATCGTGAATATTTTAGAAACAGTCAGAACGCTGAACAGAACATTGGACGCTCGTCTACAATATATATCTAAGAGAAAATGAAGAAGCAGTGGTACCTATAGGTATAAAAGAATGCCAATTATGTATAGTCATATTGTCGATGAAACGACCAGCCGGTATAAAAAAATCTCATTTACTTTGAATAAACCAAGAATACAAAAATAAAATTTTAATTAAACACTATAGATCTCTCGCATACTTAAAGTACCTCTAACAGGTTTGCATTTCTGCTTTTCATTATTATTTTTTTTTGATGGCATAAGCCGGTAAACGTGCAGACGGATCACCCATGGATACCTGGAACACCAGAGGCGTTACAAGTGCGTTACCGGCCTTTTGGGGATTTGTTTGAGGATCGTTAGGGATTCAGGCATTTGGGAGATTGGGGAAGGGGAGGGTAATTGGGCCTCCGGTAACCTCACTCACACGATGGAACACAACGCAAGCGTGGTTTCACGTTGGTTTTCTGTGAGGCCGTGTCGAACCGGCCCATTCGTTCCAAAGCATGGCTCTCCCACATTTTTCATATTCGACGACCGTTGTTTATTGTCGAAATTGAAGTAGCTACATCTTTATCGTTTAAAATGAGGGAAATTTACAGACGCCAGAACATGTTCTGTCGTCTGTTTATGATATGGCTTCATGGAGCCATATCATAAACTGTATGTCTTCCTTACTTACTTACTAGATTTTTATACAGGTCTCAGCTTGCCATAGTGCAGAGCTTAGAGAAAAATAACGTAATCAAAGAGTGGTATGGAATGTCGAATGAAAGATGATGTAATGACAGGCGTTAATAAAACAATGGTCTTATTGAAATCAAGTTAGTAAAGTTACGAAAGAAAAGAAAGCACACAAAAGTCGGTACTACTACGGGCACTATCAATGGAAACAATGGGTTAAATGCGCACTCCATCTTGGCATCTTCTCTATCAAATAGACGACACAGAATATATAATGTTATTAAGTAATAAGATAACGCTGGTTGCTAGGAGCTCTGTTCAGAAATTGGATTATGCGACAGGCGACAGACAAGGTTCAGTATGCGCTATGAAGGTGAGTAGGGGCACGGTAGTGTACCGTGACGAAGTGCCTGTTGATGGCGGTGATGGCGGTGTCGGCGGCGCGGCAGCGGCCCTGCAGCAGGTCGGCGGCCAGCGCCAGGCGCACGCGGCGCGCCCAGCCGCCCTCGCGCCCCCGCCGCGCCGCGCCCCCGCCCGCGCCCCCGAACAGTGTCCGCAGGTACGCCGGCTTGGGCCGCACGGGCGGCTTCTCTATACTCTTGCGCTTGTACCGCGGCGGGAGCGACTCCATCGTCCGCTCCTAACACTCCCTCGCGCACTGTCACCCCGGCACTGACACTGGGTGCCACGTAACTTCCACAGTTCAAGGAGCACAGCACTTTATTCCAATGTACACAGAAGCACGGCACAAAGTTGAACAACAAGCACAAAGTACACCACGGAAGGTTAGTAATATGTGGCAGGAAATTAATCGATGGTGAGAAATATGCTGGCCTTGTAACCGTGGGGACGAATGTGAAGACTATGACTCGCGCACAGATCATCGGGCAGCGAAACAATGATGTTTACACGACAGGCTCGGCTGTGGCATTCAGACAAACAACAACCGCTACGTTTGGGACACCCGATTGTGAAATATTAAACAAAACCTTTGAGAGCCGTCAGTGCCCAAATATTGATCAACTATTGTTCCTAAGCAAGCACTGAACAATCACCGCAACTATTGTTATTAACGTCTAAATTTTAAGTAACTGTACTGTAACTTGTCTGACTGCTTCAAATATTCTCATAGAAATGGAAAACAATAAAATATAAACATTAAACATGTCTTTCATTCACATATTACCTATAGAAACAAAACGTATGCGATAGCCATTATTGAGACGTTAAAGAAATCTTCTCAATGGACGGTAGCTCCTGCAACTACATGTATAAACACTTATTACCATCATCACATCTATTAACATGACCAGTCATAGGCTACGACACAAGTATTGTAGGTTACTGTAAGATGTATAACTTATAACAAAGTCCTATAATATCAACTACTAACAGTGGCGTCACATATAACAGCACCGTAGACGACACCTTCAGGGAATAAAAAAAAATTGTCATGTATGCAGTAATACACGAACCTGTGCGAGCTCCTCGGTGTGTCCCCTGAGTCCGTGCAGTTCGTCCCTGAGCTGCGCCCGCTCCCGCGCGGAGAGTTCCTCCTGTTCCTCGGCGTGCAGTCTGCGGCGCTCACTGTACTGCAGCTCACTCTTCAACTTGCGGATGTCGTTGCGGGACCTACGGGGACCACATACCTTCAACTCACGAACGCAACAACAAATAAATCAACACTTACAACAAGTAATTACTTTTTAGAGCAAAACATTATTGTGACACACGCATGATTCAATTGTGATACGGATACCCATGTGAACTAAACAAATGTAACAGAAATGTTCAAGTACGGCACATTTATTTGCGTCGCATTACATGGAAGCCACTCGGGTACTTAAAGTCGCGACACTCGACACTACAACCCAAACTGTACATACGTAATACAGTGTAGGTAGTACAAAGTAGCCAAGTGGGACATTTAGTCGCCACGCACCGATTCGTACATTCCCAGTACAACATAAACAGCACTCAAGTTATATACAGATTAAATGGACATCTCTTTATCTTAAACCACAAAGACATTGCAAACCTAAACAATATTTATATAAGAAATTGTTTGATACACACAGTTGGCATCGCTTCACCGGCGCCATTGCGACTTCCCAAAGATTTACTTCAACTTCAGGCACTTCAAACACACTTGAGTTTATCTCGATACATATATTCATATTAAACTTGACATATATTTGTTTTAAAAATAATCACGGTTACACGCATTCTTACGATACTCTTCAAGTAACTGGGTTAAATGTATGTCATCTCGCAGTTATCGAAATGTTATCAGAAATCTTTCAATGAAACTTATGACACAATATGCGACACTTTCGCGAGTAGATGACGCGAGACTAGTATAAAGGCTATTATTGATCTGAAATATATTCAAAATATACGAATAATGCAACTGCTGCACTTTACAGGCTGAAGGCTATTAATGAGAGATGTCGAATTTGTATGTGATCGTCATATTGTTATGGAAAGAATTGACTGAATTAAGTATATTGTTTGGTATCTTATTGTATTAGAAAATTATGAATGAATATACTATACAATTTAATATTTAATACTACTAGTCTAATTCGACCAGTCTAAGTCAAAAAATAATCGACTGCACGGTTGGTGCGGTGGCTGGGCAACTGGCTGCCGTGCAACGTGTCGCGGGTTCGATTCCCGCACGAGACAACACTTTGTGTGATCCACAAATTTTTGGTTTCGGGTCTGGGTGTCATTGTGTATGTGAACTTGTATGTTTGTAAACGCACCCACGACACAGGAGAAAAACCCTGTTGTGGAGCAATGATTTAAAAAAAAAAAAATAGTTACACTAGATAGCTTGACTGTCGCGAAGTCTAGGATTCGATTTCCAAGAAAAAAAAAATATAACATTGAACATGATGTAACATACCTGTCAACTTCAGCCTGTACCACTTCATGTGCCTTTGTAAGCTTTTCCAGTTGCATCTTGAGTCGCTCCGCGTCCTTCGTGGCGAGCTCATGTTCCGGCCGCAGCTTGGCGAGTTCAGTGGCGAGCTCGCCGGCTTTCTGCTCCGCGGTCTTACGTGCCTCGATGGCGTTAGTCAACCGTTCCTCAGCGCGCTTTAGGTCGCGAGCCGTCGACTTTGTTTCTACTGATAATTCGTTGTACTCGCGCTCCTGGTGGGTAGGCAGTAGGTGTAGTTTTAATGATAGTTGTACACATTGGCTTTTATGATTTTTACTTTACATTATAAATGGAAAAATGAGTTTATTTACTACGCCTACGGAAATACGACATGAGTTCGGATAGTGTTAGTTCAAAACAACCATTGTATTTTACCTTTCTCCATCTCGCTAGATTAGCAGCTCTCGCCTCTTGACGTAGAGTCGCTATTTCTTCAGCACGCGCCTGTAAACGAAAGTTCTGGTTACAATCCTAACACATGAACAATACATTTTAAATTACAATATTACATACAAACTTAATACGTCACCTGTAATTGAGCTTCGGCCTTTTCGAGCTGTTCCTTGAGCAGGGAAAGCTGTGCTTGCGCCTGAGCATCTCCGACGCTCTCAGTGTCACTGTGCGCGTCCCTCCTGGCGTCCCCCTTGTGGCCGGGTGCGTGATGCCCGCGCTCGCTCTCGGGCTGCGCGGAGCTGGACGCGGCGGCCGCGCATGCTGTACAGGATCGCTTCTCTAACGCACTCACTTCCCTCTCTAGCTGTCTCACTAACTGTTCTAGGGTGTTCACCTGTTGTATTGTTTAGACATTATGTATGCTGGTAGTTCTTCCAGAAATGTTCACAGTAAAAAATTCCGCGACCCGCAACATGGTGCTGGTCTAGAAGTGTCGCATTGTGAGTTATATTTATCCATCACTATTTGGAAAGACTTTCAGCAAAGTGGAATCAAATTAGTGTCAAGGATCGTGTAGAATGTAGTAGGCGGCGTACCTTCTCCCGATGCCTGGCGTCGTCCCGCAGCGCGGCGGCGGCGCGGCGGTCGGCGTCCTGCAGGCGCTCGGCGAGCCGCGCCTCCGTCCGCGCGCACTGCTCCTCCAGCGCGGACTCGCGCCGGACCGACTCCTCCACGCTACGCTCCAACTCCTGCAAAAAGTATACTCTTAATATTATACTTCTTCAACACATTATAGTTACATTTTGGTCATATTATGGTCGCTTGCCCCTACTGCATCATCGACAGTAAGTTTTCGTTTGTTGACAATATTGTTATAAGCAAAACTGAATATTTACCTGTACTTGTGCGAGTAGCGTAGAAGCCCTCACTCGTTCCTGTGCGAGCTGTACTTGTAGCTCCTGCATTTGCTCCGAGGATGTACTGGCCATACGTTGCTTCTCACACAGCCGTTCCTACGATACAACAATATCATATCAGCCTCTATAATACTACTGCTACTAAACGATCCCTCCTGTATTGAACAGGTGCTTTAAGCTACGCCAAAGATTTCTTATCGTTTTTCTTACGTCTGTCGTTACACCAAGTAACACAATTCTCCCTTACCTGTGTATCGGCCAGGTTCCTGTTGGCCTCGTCGAGTTCGTCTCTAAATCGTCTATTCTCATGTTCTATTTTCTCCAGCTTGGCCTCCATGGCCTGCCTGGCGCGCAGTTCCTTGGCAGCATTAGCCTCGGCGGTGGCAATACGCGCCGCCGCCTCGCGAGACTCCGCCTCACCACCGCTCAATGTCTGACGACGAATGGCTCGCTCTTTGGCTATCGAGTCCTGACAGAAATACTTGTATTACATACGACTTAATAATTATTTCTGAAACTGTCTACTAGCTAGCGAATTTTACTGAAATCAATATTACTACTGAATGTACTGTACTGCGTATCGGATTAAGCAAATTTTATTGTTTTGCCTTTGATCTTAAAGATTATTTTCACTTAAAAAATACATAAGTGGACAATGCTTTGGGTATGCAGGACTACTTTAGTGCAAGGCTCTTATATATTGCTACTTTTATTTGGTTAATCCGGCACTACTAAGGTAGTCATCATGATGAGTATGCATAAAACAAATTCGTAATGTAATCAATAAAAGTGTTACAAACTTTAAGTTGTAGTAGGGGAGCCCATGAAGGGATTTCGGTAGTTACTCGAGCGCGTCAGATTAACATATGGGGAAAACCTAGTGTCATGTTGAATATACCCACCATATATCCGATCTGATTTTTAAGGGGGGGACTAAAAATAAAAAAAAAGTCCGACGAAATAAAGTCAGTTTCAGCAGATTAAGGGGAGGTAGGTCAATACCATGCTAAAGGAAGTGCGTTTAAAAAATCTGCCCATTCCAACTTGATTTGCAAGATTGGGGATATTTTGAAGGGTTCTCGTTTGTACTCTCCAGAACATTCAACCCCACCATGCAAACTGGCAGATTAAGAGTTTTTTATTATTAAATACACATAGAGCACGTACACTATCATTATCTGACATGCTCGACCACTAGAACAAAAGTTACGCTTAACAATTTCAAATATCTGTGGATCCCCCCTTCCCCCACCGGTGGAAGAAATTGTTACTAAACCACTTCTTCTTTTTATCAGCATATCTTCAAAATCCAGTAGGTCCCAACGACGCTCAAGTAAATCCAAATTTAGCATCGTGGGCTCCCCTACTATGATACATGTACAGTCGAACAGTGATACGTGATACGATCAAATATTACTTACTGCTATCTACCTATGCTTCAAGGAAAACTAAAGACAATATGATGTAATGTAAATTAAATAAGTACAATCAATCAATTTTCTCCAACTACTACTACTCTACTTGTATCAGTACAGTCAGTGTGTAGTGACTCACTAGAGGGCGCACGTTGAGCTCGGTGAGCCTGCGGTGTCGCAGTTCATGCGCCTGCGCAACTACCTCCTGTCATACATCTTACAACTCAGTATTTCTTCGAATACATACATTTTTATGTAGATAATATTTAGCTCAATAATAATCATGAGTAAAAATGTTGATACTTTAAAAGTGATTATTTACACATATCTCAGTTTATTGGACTGTAGATTTGTGAAAGCAGTTATCATTAAAAAAATATTGTACCAATACTAATACTGTAAAATATTGTTCAAATGTGGCGACGAAGGGCGATAAAAAATGGATAAGCAGTAGGTTAGGTAGTTAGGTAGTTAGGTCCCAACCTTGTAGTGTTGTTGTTGTGCCCTGGCGGTGTCGGCGTCCGCGGCGGCGCGCTGGCAGTCGGCCTGCAGCTGCAGCACGCGCGCGTCCAGCCGCTGCAGCTGGTCGAGCAGCACGTCGCGCTCCGCCTGCAGCGCTGCAGCGGCGGCGCGCGCATTGCGCAGCTCTGTGTTGCCCCGCTCGGCCGCGGCCGCTGACAGCTGTTGGTTGGAGCGCTGCAGGGACATGCGCTCCTCGCGCTCCACCTCCACCTGGCGCTCCAGGCGTCTGTGTCACCAACGTATCGAATTAAATTGTGCAGGGGATACTTCACAGAAAACAAAGGTAGCCAACTAATACATCAACAGCCTCTTTCCATCCACTGCTGAACAACTGTTCTAGAAGCATGTCACTAAACATTTCTCAGCTTTTCACTTTACAACAACTGCCAACTTAGGCAAAATATTAGATTTTTGTAATTCCACGATGTCATGGTAGCATGGAGGTTTAAAACGCTCGCTTCTCATGCATGAGAGTGCGGGTCCGAAACCTAGCAACGACTAGTACCAATGTGCTTTTTCCGAGTTATATGTATTTTTATTATACTGACAAATGTTGAATGAAAGCATCGTGAGGAAACCTGGGCTTATAAGATTGAAATCGCAAACCCACTTGAGCAAGCGTCAAACCTTCTCCGTGTGAGAAGACGCCTTTAGTCAGCAATGGTCACTTATATGTAGGTTGTTGATGATAATTAAGTCCACTTAGCTGAAAGACATTTTGTTGTAGTATTAGTACTAACTTGTTCTGCAAACTAAGCGCAGTGATCTCGGCCTGCAGCCGCACGCGTTGTCTCTCTGCCTCGGCCTCGGCCTCGTGTCGGATCCGCTCGGCGGTGGCCCCGGCCAGTGCCTCGGCCTCCGCCAGCTTTGTCTGCAACGACGAGATCTCACGACTGCGCATCGCCGCGAGCTTCTCTGCCGACCTATGTTACAATCGTAATTACAGACGTACTGTAGCTGTCAAATATTATTGAAGATATCAATATATCGTATCATTCATGGCTCCATAGATTAAACCATAAAAATACATCATTAGAAAAGAGTGCACATATAATTTATAAATAACGTATACTACCATATAGTCACACTTTTTTTTTAAGGGGGGAAAATAATCGAATGACTGCTCCCGCCTGGGTGAGGCGGGAGGGAGTGTCAGACTCTTACTGACTAAAAACCACCCCGTTCTTTCTCCTGCACTTCGAGTCGGAGCCCCCGTAACCCGTTAGGTTCTCCGCGACACGTATAGTCACAGTAGAAGCCAAATATAAGATTAAAAAATACTTTCAATAAGTAAACGGGTATATAAAACTGCTCTGAAGTTGTAGTTACGAAAACATAAAATCACATCACGCAGTCATACGAAAACACAGAGAGCTGCTCATTATAAAAAAATATAGCTGTTTGCGAAGAGTGAGCTTATTACCAAATTTGCCTGAGTTTCGCACAAAATAACCAAACAAATACTCACTTAAAGGTAGCGAGATCGATGGCTGTACAGTCATGCGAGGCGTTGAACCCTCCACTGTGGTCCTCGTTCTCCTCGGGAGCCACGAACGAGTATCCTGTAAACAACACATCTGATTCAGTCACCGACAATGTCGTCTACGCACACATAACATCAGACAGTTACATGAGCGTATTTGTAAACTGGATCGATAAACAACTGTAGGTAAAATACCCTGACCTTGTAATTTTGATGAATTAGGTATCTTTCTTATATAGTAAATTGAAATCGAACCACATTGAAGAGGTACTAAGAACACTGGACATAAGATGATTATGGAATGTCATGCGTTAACACACGGGCCAAAAAATACAAAGTCGAACATGAAATGAAATGCTGTACTAACCGACAAAAGGCAGTTGTCCCGCGAAGGGAGGCCGTGTCCGGAAGGGCGCGGCGCTGGGCGGCGGCGGGGCGCGCGCCGGCGCACTGAAGTACGACGCGTCCTCCGCGCCGCGCACGCACGGCACCCACGGGGGCGCCTGCGGGGCCGCTCACTCAGTACCACTCATTTACGACACAGGTTAAACATTCTAATTATATTTTGAATAATCTATCTCCGATTTTTTGGATCCTTTGATACTAAATCAGTTTCTTCATTCAAAATGTTGTGTTTCATATTCTTTAATGTAGTTTTATGATAATTGATGAATACATAAAACTATTTTCACTTAAATACATCAATCGAATGCAAGGGTTTAACGGTACCTGATCTCTGATATTGTGAGCAGGCATATGTGCCAGTGCAGCGTGTTGCAGCGTGTCGAGGTAGGAGTATCGCTTGGACGGCAGTACACGCAGGAGCCCCGCCACCAGGCCGCGCCACTCGCGGGACGGGCCCGCCGGCGGCCCGGCCCACGGTAACTGGGGGCTCGAGTCGCGCTCGTATCTACAAAAATCATCACAAAGGAACAAAAAATAGACATCATCAATATTAATGACGCAACAAACAAACGTGATTAAAGCTGTGTGTACAAATGAAGCATAGAATGTAGTTCACATTAAACCAAATGCAACCAAATATTATACTAAAAAAGGAGACAATAAAAATAATGACTGAATAGAAAAATAACTAGAGAATTGTATTGTGAACCTGATTGAAAAAGAGTAACCTGAGTTTCTTGCTCGTTCTTCTCCATAGGAATCTACACCTTGGAATGAGCAAATAGCTTCACTTTTAATTTAATTGTTGACCTTCAAAAGTGCCTTTCTGGTCTAATTGAAATAAATGATTTTGACTTTGACTTTGAATGCCAAAACTAAAAGTGCAACAATTCTTACTTTTGTATATTGCTCAGTATTTCTGCAATGGAGTCTTCCTCTCCCGTAGAGAACGGGCGCCGCAGCGTGACCAGCTCGAAGGCGATCACTCCCAGCGACCAGTAGTCGCACGACGACTGGGCAACACACACATTAGCATACGATATTATATCTTACATTACACTAGTAATAAGGACAGACTACGTTACTGAAATATAACACTGCCAAATGAAGATCTACAGTTAACTACTTCTGTTAGTAACTATTCACCAGTTATGAATATTATACAGGTACAACCAATCCATCAAATTCAATGTTGTTAACTTAATTTAATACTCCATGTCACTGCTCTACTCTGCCATGCTATCTACAAGTTGCACAACATGTCAATCCTTGCTACCTGCTACAGAACTATGACATATAGAGTTACATCTAATTACCGATAGATTTGCATTTTGTTTCCAAACATTCTCAAAGATTAAAGTTCATTGTCATATCAAGTTGAAATAGTTTACGTACCTACCACACTAGGTGTAGCCTGTATAGCATACTTTTTGTCTTTATTTGTCTTTCAAATGCCTTATGTTCAAGGACTATTCTGTCGATTTGCTGTATTTGTGTTAATATCTAAATATGAAGTGCAAATGATGAAAAGTAAACATATTTTTTGAACTCCATCTTGTGTGGATGTTATAAAAAACTGTTTTAAGTTTGGAGCTTTTAAATTTGGTCAAAGACGCGTGACATCGGTGTACTCCCATATAAGGGCAAACAAAGTGATGCCGTCAAATAGAAACACTACACCAAGTGTGGCAGTATAGAGTAAGAGAGTATCAAGATGCGTGGTGTGTGTAAGTAAAGCACATGCGTGTGTGAGCGCGACCCACAATGGCAGTGGTAACGAGCCTGGCGCAGTACTGGAGACACACAGCGTGGGCCGCGCAGTCCGCCGCCGCCAGCAGCTCCGGCGCCATGTAGTCCGCCGTGCCCACCGCCACGCCGGCGCACCCGCCCTCCGACAGGCGCGCTGACGACCCAAAGTCACCCAGCTTCACATGACCGCACCTACAACACAACAATTTTAATACATCTAGATCATAGAACTCTTCAATATTACATTAAACACATTCCACTAATGATTATCAATCTGTTCCCACCTATCAAGCAGTATGTTATGTGGCTTGACATCTCTATGCACATATCCCATGCCGTGCAGAGCTTTCAGTGCGTGTGCAATCTCAGCGATATAGAATGCTGCGTCTCTCTCGGGCAGTGGATGCGCGCGCCGTGCCATCAGCCCCGCCAGGTCGCCGCCGCAACACAGCTCCATCACTAAGTACAGGTTGCTACTGTCCTGTACAACAAATACGAATATGTTATATGTCAATTGTTGTTACTTACGTAAAATGTTTACTTCAGAATAGTTTAGAAGAATCCTGCATGAGTCATAATTATGTATGTATTAAGTATTGGTACTATTCAGATATTAGGAGCATTTGAAATGAGTACTCTAATTAAAATCTTCTTTCTAATGCCACTTACTTGGAAAGCATATTGCAGCTTGGGTATCCATGGTCCAGTGGCTGTGGCAAGCACATCTCGTTCCTCATCGGCTCGCTTACGCGATTGTTCCTTGCGGAGTGTCTTCATAGCATACACATCACTTGTTTGCTTCTCCCGGACCATCTTAAAGATAGAAGGCACAAAGTAAATAGTGGATCCTCAAAAGAGTTCCAAAAAATCATATAAACTTGAACCCATACATGAACTTCTCCAAAGTGTCCTCGTCCAATAGTCTGCAGCATATCAAAGTCTGATATGCATACCCGGGTCCTGCGCAGCTCTGCCAATGTACTCCGATCTATCCAACACAATAACAAATGTTGATTTTGACATCTAATTTATATTTAGTATTCAAAATAGTTTCTTATTATGATAAATTATTTGTATTGTATTGGAAACACAATATACTATGATGTACCTGCTATAGTAAACATATTTGATAATTTAAATATTAATTGATAAGAAATATTGTCCATTTATTAGTAATAGTTAGCCATCTATTCAATATATTTATATTTACATGTTGACCTATGGTAATATAAACCAGTACAAATTGTTATAGTATGAAATTTATAAAGTCCGTTACCCCTAGGCTAATTTGACCTATTCCAATAAACTATGATAACATCTTATTTTTTTTTACAAATTCATTTTTTTCTTATAATAAGCATCTTCTTTTACAAGATATGCAATATTTGTCATCTCTATCAGTGTACTTTTCGATTAACCATATTATGAGGATTTAAAGGTCAAAGGGTAAATGTCCTTAGGGCCTTGGTCACAGGGCGTTGTACACAATAAGCATCTTAGGGATAAGACAAAAGCCACTTACACTTGTCCAAAAAGGCTTTAACCAAGTCATCACTCTTCTTGACCGGGTCATCATTACATTCATCGTAGAGAACTGTGAGGGCATCCAATAGTGCTTCGCGATCTATTGTTTTCCTACTGAACCTAGTACTCCCACCTGTTACCTTTCCCAGAATCAGACGGTTTATACGCGTAATGCGAACTGCTATCGCTTCTTTAGAAGGCTCCATTGTTAATTGACTGTACCAAAATCGACTTCACTTATACACATGCATATTTCTTTTATTTATTTATCTCATAAATCGTAATCAACATTAGCAATGCACCGAACCCGGTATTTTCGTCGTTATTATTTGAAAATTGAATTTGCCTTCAGTGTCATTTGACAACTCTGACAAGTGTTGCCAGTACTATAATATACTGCGCCATCTAGTGTCGAATTGACTAAAATATGACTGATATTCTCGATAGTCATAACGATTAACAAAATCATAGACACCGAATGACAATGGTCATAGACAAAATGGCTTATTCAGTGCTGCTATTCGACAATAGATTGCGCTATTACCTTATTTATGACTAATTACTAAACAATTTTTTTTTTAAGGGGGGAAAATCATCGGATGACTGGTCCCGCCTGGGTGAGGCGGAAGGGAGTGTCAGACTCTTACTGACTAAAAACTACCCCGTTCCTTCTCCTGCACGTCGAGCCGGAGCCTCGGTTACCCGTTAGGTTCTGGTATAATTTTTTGTCTTGCATTTATTATCTGTTGGTATGTTTCGATAATTATAAGACATAACATGCCAAAATATAATTTCTATTCTTATAATTTTATTATTCTTTTGATACTCTTACATTATCCCATCGTCCATGTTAAAAAACAATATAGCGTGAGACGTCCTACTTCCTTTCTAGACACTGAACAGAGTAACTATCCTGGCGCACATTTGTATAAATGTATTGTGTTGATGACTGAATTGACTGAAAGATGGGACCTTTTAGGTGGAAAATAAATATTGCCATTCAACGTGACAATGCTGTTAACTGATAACTTGTCTTGACTTTTTGAGACCAAAGAGGAATGAAATAAGATTCTAGACAATTAACAGGTTTTCTCCGAACTAAACCTATTGCATTTTAGAATGTGGTGTGTATTCTTATTTAAATTCACTTGACTCCAGAATAATTCGTGTGTTCAATAAAAGTCCAAAATGAAATAGGTAAACCTTTGTGTTTATACCTATTGTTCTAAGAAATACACAATTTACAACTAATCTAATATTACAAAATATTACTGGTTAACACCAAAGCTGGAAGACTGGCGTGCTGACGCTATAGGGTCGCAGGCGCAGCTACGCACTTGAGAACACATAAAAAATGTCAACACATTAGTGTTGCCACAACATCATTAGTATTATTAGAGATAAAGTTTTTTTTCAGTGCGTATCTAAATACAGTAAATACCTAGTTTCCTACTATGGACTTTTTTAACAATAGCCGTCGGTCTTGTAGTGGATGGTGGGACAGTACCTAAGCATGAATCACCAGTCGTGGTCCTAACGTAAAAGGTTTATAATCTTTTTTTTTTGTGGAATAGGAGGCAAACGAACAGATGGTAACCGATCAGCGCTGCCCATGGACACCCGCAACACCAGAGGAGTCACAGGTGCGTTGCATATTGGTTCGTATCGGTTCGGAAATACCACCGACGATAGACCATTCCACAGTTTAGCTCCCGAGAAGCGCACAGTTGTGGCCTGCCAACCATTTATATGATGGGGATGCGTAAGCTGTCGTGAGGGTCGATGGCGAAAAGATGCGGCAGGTATCAGGTCAAACAATTCCTCAGAGCACTCCTCGTGGTATAGGCGATAGAAAATGCCCAACGAAGCTACAGCTCTACGCATTACCAAAATGTTTAACCGGTTTGAAACATCCCGACATCCAATAATCCGAACGGCACGCTGCTGAACTCGGTCCACAGGAAGAAACTGGTAGATACTGGGGTGCCCCTGCCCAAAGACGAGAACAGTATTCCACGTGGGACCGAACCTGCGCCTTATATAGAAGCAGGCGGTGGGCCGGGGTGAAATACTGCCTCGATCTATTGAGCATACATCAAGCTTCCTCGAGGCTAATTTGGCCTTGACTTGAGTCGGGTTTCCAGAATGACACAGTAAATGTCTATACAAAATTATACGACGTATCAGTACGTAGTGTCCCATGAAAAAATATTGTTTTAAACATAATCATGGCACAATCGTTTTATCACGTCACCGTGTATAATATGGATCTTTGCAAGGATTCGCCTCGCTGGAGGTGTCGGAATCATCGAACATGCTTATCTTATATCTTATTTTGCGCTTATATCCATCTAAAACACATAATAACCCATTAAACATCAATTTCACACTGTAAAATCATTATTTTGCATTAAAGTAATATACACAGTGACAGAGCCGCGCTGAATGTAGGTAGGAGAGCGGGACGTATAAACACGTTGTGCATATGTGAATACCGTAACCGCACACTATCAACGGCACTTATTTGAAATAGTTCTAAATTTACCCTACGTGACATAACAGTGTTGGATATTTAATATGTTGTGACACAAGATACATTCAAAATGATTTTTACTTGAACTTTCATCAGAAATGAACATTCTGCCGTATAATTTAAATGTTCTTTACTCGAACTTTGTTAATCTCGTTCTGTCCTCGAACGTGTTATCCTTATCCCCATCCACGAAACTAGACGTCGCTCGAAATGGTGATACCAAGTCCAAAAGTAAGTATACCAATACCGGGTGAGGCAGTAAGGGGGGTGCTTTGAAACTGAAAAGAGACGACCAACGGCAGTTTCATAGCGGTAAACACCTGTGTCTTAGTGGGGTTAAACTAGCTCTCTATGTACGTTTTCCCGAGAAATAATAATTTCGCGGCCGGAGTAGCAGGCATCGCCCGTGCTGTTATCTGCATAATAAAGAATGCCGCTGATTTGCAGCATATCGTTAATATGAAGGAGGAACAATGTAGGCGATCGCTATAGCACGCAGCCCTGCGTTTACAGACAGCAAGTCAGAGCATTCACCGTCGACAAGAACCTTAATGCTTCTGTCTGCAAAGAAACAGGAGACCCATTCGCATAATTTCTCGGGAAGCTCGTAGGAAGGAAGCTTCGAAAGAAGCACTCTATGCCAAACCCGATCGAAGGCTTTCGCTAAGTCCAACGTACCCAACGTAAGTAGGTACTGCAAACATTTCCCCCTTAGACTCGATCGCCTGTGCCCACCGATACGTTGAGTAAACTAGAAGATCACCAGCAGACCGACCTTTACGAAAGGGAATTGCTGGTCACTGAGCAGCTGATGATCTTCTAAGTAACGCAGGAGCTGACAGTTAATAATGGACTCATTATTTTCGAGAAGAGGGAAGTTATGGCTATCGGTCTGTAATTTGGACGAATTAGAAATCTTCAACATTTTCATGATAGCTGAAATTATAAATCAGCCAATTACAATTTTTGTACCAAGTTCATACGCACATATGATTGCCGCGTATAGGGGCAACACTAAAAAGATGATTTTGAAAAAAGTGAATATGCTCACTAACCTACCTACATATGTATTGCACTGATGAAAGCCATATTGCTACAATTGAAATTTAATGGAAGTTTATAATTATGGTTAAAGTGATTTTTAATCACCTTTTTGCTCGCAATCACAGCATCTAGAGCAAAGGGTAGACTAGACCTTATATACGCATTAACTATTAAAACAACATATTTTGTTATGATAACATTTTTGTTGACAAAATTTAACAATGTGTATATACGTATTTTTCCACAAGTAAGGCAGGCTTTTAAATCGTTTACAAAAAACGTTCCGAACGGCTAACAAATAAACAAACAGACTCATTTTCGCATTTATTTGTATTCTTTACTTAAGTACACCTAATTTTCACTAGTTGCCAATGTCCAGAGTCCAGTGCCATTATAGTCGGTGCGATTCATCAAGTAAATAAAATGTATGTACCTACAGTAGATATTAACTAGGCTATATATAGGCTAGGTCTATCCCAGTGGGATCTATCCATCATATTATTACGATCTCCGGCCACCGTAAGCGCGGGCCTGCGGACGGCGAGCATGGGTGGCTCCCCGTCCGACCAGAAACAGACCCGAGCGTACGGCGCGTCGCGTTCCGCGCGCGCCTCAAAGAGCCATCAGACCACCACAGATGGGGCCCAATAGGGCCGATGCCGATTCGGAGTCGCGGAGAACCTAACGGGTAACCGGGGCTCCGGCTCGACGTGCAGGAGAGGGAACGGGGTGGTTTTTAGTCAGTAAGAGTCTGACACTCCCTCCCGCCTCACCCAGGCGGGGGCAGTCATTCGATGATTTTCCCCCCTTAAAAAAAAAAAAAAAAAAAAAAAAAATCCATCATATTATTACAAAGGCCAGCAATTATTGTTATCTGTGCCTGTTGACTACGAAAAGTATTACATACATTACTTTCACATGTTTTGCTTAAAACTATAAATATCTGTTCATTACTCATTATAGCTACTAACGAACAGTGACAGCATAGTAAATGCGCGGCTCACGTGCCTTGTTTGCTGTACTCATCACATTTCGACGTCTTGACTTTATATTGACACACTTTCCGAACAATTTTAGCAAAAACTGTATAAAATCTCACGTTTCTAATAAGTACGTGAAACAAAACAAAGATTCATTAGGTACTTGTAGACACGGCTTGTCGTTAATTTGCAACTTTAATTACAGGTTGTATCTATCCGCTTGTTATATTGTGTATTATTTACTTAAAATCTTGTGAGAATGTATCGAATTAATATTCTTTAAAGGGCGATAATGAACAAAGTTGATGTTAGTGACGTAGAGCCGGTGTTCGCTCGTTAGTGTCTCTGACAGTGAGCAGTCCTCCTCGTCCTTACGTTTTGCAGTGGCCGCGGAGTTTATAAAAGGCAGTGAGCGCTATGCGGGCACAGTTTTGTCCTTACTCAGCTGGAGTGCGCAATCTCGCAGCTCGAAATTAGAGCATCGGGTCAGCGATACGAGCTACGAGTAAACACGTGTTGTGAAGTGCGATGGCGGTTCTGCAAGGCCCTTCTCGCAAGCAGGCGGAGCTGATCGCGCAGGAGCTGGGCGAGACCCCCGGAGACATCCAGCGCGGGGTGCAGGACCTGCGCAGCATGCTCGCCGCCTCACCATACCTGCCGCAGCCGGAGAACGTTGGTAAGTTCTGTATACTGGAGTCTTTATAGGGTCATAAATTACAATATGGAATTAATATTATTCATATACTCGTTATATATCAAGATGCTATTTGTGACGTGCATTCCTTCCTTTATCAAACCATTCATAATAAGAGGAAGTAACATTGTTAACAACAAATCAAACAAAAGTTTTGATGAACATTTGAGTCTATACCGACTTCAAAAAAGGTTTATTCATAGATACTTTTAGTTATTTATACATCGAAGTGGCTTTAACTCGTCGAATACCGTTATTATAGACACAATTAAAGAACAATAGGTTGCGGTCACCAGTGACCGCTTGGTGTTTGACAGTTTAATAAAAAAAAAACATTTTTAAGAGGACCATTAAATTACAATATGGTCTATAAATAGGGCACGGTACGTGCTCTTTTAATAGGCACCTAAGTACCTAACTAGTCTCTTAAGAAATGCCGGAAACAGGATCTATGTTTTTTTGGAGGAACTTCTATTGGGTTCTTAGTTCAGCTTGACAGTTTTTAATTCGGTTGGCGCAACAGACGATTGGAAGCTGTGCAACGTGTCGAGGATTCTGTTTAATATTCCCGCTTTGTACAATAATTCTGTGCGTGATCCACTACTTGTATCGGGTCTGGTCTGGATGTTATATGAAATAATTTCGTGTCCACGTCCATTTTTATCTTCATTTCAATTTCTAGGATTATGGACCTAGGCCAACCGTGAGCGACCTTTGTAGGTCTAGTGTATTTAGGGGCAAATTTGGGTACATATAGAACAGAAACAGTAAATTAAGTCTTGCGACAAGGGCTTATGTGGAAAGGAGTGTCTAGCGGGGGCAATGACCGCTGCGTTAATTATTTTATGTCTGATACAAGTATTACAAGTTGCGGTTACTAATTACATCGGTATTTAATGCTTAAATCCATTGCCAAATTAGTTGATGTAATGGAGATGCCACGGGTTTATTCCCACAGTTGGTTTTTAAAAGAAACTCAACTAAAATTGATTGCAATGTAAATTAAAACTAGTTGGTACATTAATAACAATAATGATCCTTTTAATTTCCGAACCGAAAATGTATATTAAGTGCAACAAGTATAGTACTTACGATTTATGTTGTGCCAACAAGTTGTAGTCATCACTAACCATGCATCATAAGTATTTTAGATGAAAGCACTGTCATTCGCCCTCTATAGCCCTCTATAATAGATGGAATGAGTATCTATACTACATCTCCTTTCTATAGATGTTAATGTTATTAATTTCTTTCTAAAGATGTTATATTATAATGTGATGACGCCAGTTCCATACTTTCCGCTTTCCAACACACGGAAGGTTCTCGAGTTAGTTTATTGCCCTTTCACGGATCAATCGATCGCGAAAAACATAACTGACCTCGAGAACCACAAACAACCACATGTTGTTTATCCAAACAAGCCACTAATCTGTGCCACACTTCGAGAACAAACGCAGACTGACTTTGACCGTATTTAGACTTAATTAACATTTTTATCTAATTAAACTTACCTATTTGTTCAATGAAATGTACCATTTAACCTACTAGCCTAGGTGACCGACAGCTCCTCCTCGTCAGATAGCCATAGTGTACCTAACCACATAAGGACTCATACAAGTCCTTAAGTACTAATCCATTGAACGTACTGTACCTGTCAGTAGAATATTGAATTCTCGCAATAATTCAGGAAGTAGAATCAGAGAATAACACCGAAACTTTGACTGTGTAACGTAGAACTTTAAGAATAATGACTCATCAAGTCGTCTTCTGCCACCTGCGTTGAGGATATCAAGTGTCCACTTGATAACTTTTTGGGAATTTATAAATGAATATAGGTAAACAAAAACAGTGAATTGTTCAATAATGATGACTAACCAGTTTCGTAATGGGACATAACGGGCTATTGACCCTTGAACCTATAGGTACACTTTGTCCTCCACTTCTGAATCTAGTTCACTAATGAATTAGAGATCTGTCAGTATCCTGTACATTATCTAGAGACAATAAATAATTCAAATACACCTCCGTGAGTTTGTAGGTATGTACTTTGGACTTTACATCAAAATTAGCGTTATGCTGTAAAAATATTCAGTGTTCAATCATCTCTAAATAAAATTAATGTTGCACCTTTCCGAGAGTCCATGAAGTAGTTGAAGGAGTCTTCTTCTATTGTTCTATTAAATAAAAATGAAAAAGTGTTCTAGTCTATTCTACCATGCCCGGACACTTTGTGATCACTAGCGCAGATGACGTGTGTGTAGTTGTGAACATAAATAAATACTTCAACGTCAAGAATAAAATAAGTAATTTAAGTTATAAAAGTGACATTTGTTTGCGTGGTTCTCAAGTGTATACTAATGTAGTATCTAACTTAGTGTACTGAGCCATTAGGACTAATGGTAGATTAAGTAAGTAGACACAGTAGGTAACTTAATACAACAAACGTCATTCGAATTTGCTTACCTAAGATAAAAAAGTACTTAGCTTAAGCACTCCCAATGAAATGACTAACTCGATTTCCGTCATTAAACACTGTTCATGAATATTGAAGGTGTGTGTAATAACAGGTACGAATAATAATTTGCTTAATTAAAGGTAGTACCTACTGGTGTCTAGTTGGTACCTTCGAGTAGGTATTTAAAATGCATTATGCAATGGGATACAAATAATGAATATATTACAAAAGCTCTAACGATTGTTGGTAAACAAATGTTTAACTATGTGAATATTATATCATGCACACATAATAATAATTGCTTATACGTTTTTATTTATTGATTAATAGTCAAAACACAATGTTTGTTTTTTTGTTTTTTTTAAAAAACGTTGCCCCACACTAGGATTTTCTCCTGTGTCGTGGGTGCGTTTACAAACATACAAGTTCACATACACATTGACACCCAGACCCGAAACGACAATTTGTGGATCACACAAAGTGTTGTCTCGTGCGGGAATCGAACCCGCGACACGTTGCACGGCAGCCAGTTGCCCAACCACCGCACCAACCGTGCAGTCAAGTAACAATGTCTCAAGTATCAATTTGGATAAATTTAATTATAACAGGAGGAAATAAACACAACAATTTACGCTACTCGTTTGGAAATGGTATTTACTATTTGGACACAGAAAATGAAATTGCAGTACCGCAAGTGGCATTTTGCAACGCGATTAAATAGCACAAGAATTTCTATCTCACAAACCTGTACTAAACGTAATTACGTAACAAGGATTGAAATAGGTTCAGACGCAAACCGATTATAAAATACTAGCTCATTTGTAATTACTAAACGTAAACCAATATAAGGAAAACTGGAAAACAAGCGTCAAGTTTTCATGAGAAAAATAACCTTTGTACCTAACTTAAGGTTGAATAGTTTCAACCTAACGTAGATTCAGTGTTAAGGGATATTGTTCTATTGGTAGATAGAATATATTTATTGCTTCCCCGTAAATACATGTAATAAACAGTCCCTTTAAATGTCCGTAGTAAAAAATATTAATAGCCGCATAATAACTTATCCAATAAGACGTAATGAGTCATATAAGCAATAACTAAGCGACCGTGTGCAGTATGCAAAGAATCGTGTGCCCTACGCAATAGTGACCGAATTCACGCAGCTGCCTCGTCAATAAATCCAATCACGCGCCGCACGGTTCCATGTAAAGCGAAGTGAAATGACATAATTTATCCCCGCCATTGTTTAAGACAATAGCAGTTCATCACCAGAATGTTTCCTCACACTCACAGCGCCCAAACGTCGAGTGCATTATAATACCTATGCCATGCGCTAACGCACGTTGTTCTACGCAAAATTACGTGCGCAGGCGACACTCCTTGACCAAGTTAGTTAAAAAGTATAATTGCAAAACTATTAACAATGATACCCGAGTAATTACACGTAAGTACCCTGCAATGGTAAATGGCAGTCGAAGACTGAGTGTCTCATTATCTTGGAACTGGTAGAGGGAGTAAAGAGGTCCTGTAGAAGTGTAGACTGTACTGCACAGTTGCACACAATTCGAACTTAAAGCTTAGTGTGTGTGTGTCCATGTAATAGGACTAATAATAAGCTTAAGGTTTGGAAGGGAGATCAGGAACGTGGTCAGGTCACTTGTTTAAATTATGCCTGTAGGTTACGGGCCTCGTTTAAATCTCAAAGAACACCAGGTGCCTGAGTAATGGCGAATACGTGATTTGCACAGAAATTGGTATAGATCAGACAACGTTACATGGAAGTTCTTAATAGAGAGGTAAAGACTGAAGTCACGGTAAATATATCAGATCGCCAATATTTGTGTACTGACAGAAATTCCCGATTTCGAAAAAACATACATATTATTGATGATATTATCGCGGAAAACCTAACGGGTTACTGGGGCTCCGGCTCGACGTGCAGGAGAAGGAACGGAGTGGTTTTTAGTCAATAAGAGTCTGACACTCCCTCCCGCTTCAACCAGGCGGGAGAAGACATTTGATGACTTTGACATTTGATGATGAAAAAAAATTGATGATATTGGTACCTCTGTATGTAGTTATGTTTATTATCATGATCACAACGACGTAATACGAGTAACACAACTTCGTAAACGTAAACAGAAGGTACCGTAACCGATAGTTACTATTAAAATTACATTAATTACACAAAATTGTGGAAATTTTTTAAACTTGTTTTTAAGATAGATTTTCCAGAAGATTTAGTTGTGGAAACCGGTGTAACGAGTTGTACGGCGGACAATAGACGATGATGTACAGTTGTTTTGTTGAAAACGTAAATAATGTAGAACAAAGCGCGGTGCTTGAACTGGTCCGCCATATTTCATGGCGTTATGTCATTATAGTACAACCTTGGGGTTTATTTTGTTTTAAACGATACTATTTTTGTTGGGAGATAACTGTGAGATTTTTAGTTATATTTTAATCAACAAAGTAGGTACATAGTTTTTCAATAAGAAATATGCACCGACACAACAGTATTCGCGTACAGCTTAGTTTCAGTCGAAGATGTAGGAAATGTCTATTGATTGCTATCTTTTATTTAATATCTTGTTTCCTACCTTACCTTCCTACATGTACCTACACGCATGTACTTAGGTAAGCAAGCATACTTTATATCTATCAGTCGAGCTTATTTTCCTCCATATGCTATTTATTGCTACAATTACGGAAGTGACAATAAATAACTGACTTAAGTAGATTGTGACGCAAATGTGCAACTAGCGGTGAAATTGAAGAAAACAAAGTAATTAATTATTAATTGGGTGTATACACCCGTGCAACGTATTTAGGAGTTATCATCGAAAGCAATCAGATAGTACCTCTACATCTAATGCCACTAACACTAATGCTACTTTTTATGTTTGCTTACTCATAAAACGTTTTGAAAAAGTTCCTAACTGATCCCGTTATATCTATCAGTGCCAGTGTTCAAACTTCAAATCTAGCATTTGCTGATAATAATCTAGATACTATGTATTATTTAGGCAGTTCATACATAGGCTTGGTATTTGACAAATTGTTGAGTAGCAACCGCAACTACCTAGGTATGTTGGTCACACAGTCACACGTTCATTTTTATGTACACTGTCAATAAAAAACTTCCAAGTATCGTGACTCGTTACATAGCTTATAGGTAAAAGTTATACAAAATTAGCATGTTCCTTACGATGAAGTAAATATTGTCTTATTTATTGTAAAAATATACATTTGGCCCAAAAATATCTCCTTGAGGTACGCCACGTTTACGGTAATGTATGTACTTCATCAAAAATCTCTGCTTATTGGATATTAAAAATTGTTTGTTTGAATCTGAGACTGAATATGTACTTATTATCCACGATTTTGAGATAAGTGTCTATAATTTAAATTATATGTATTTTTTGTTTATAGATAAACGTGTACTGGAGCTGTTTGTACGAGGGTGTCGCATGGACCTGGACCGCGCTCGCTCCAAGCTGGAGGCATACTGCCTGGCACGGGCCCGCTTCCGCGACCTCTACGAGCATCGCTCCCTCACCTGTCCACCTCTCAACGATGTTTGCAAGTTCATGTAAGACTATCTCCAATTTTGCAGGCATATATGTACATACATAAGCTATATAGGCTTGTACTTGTATACAATTATATGGATTGGCGCTTTAAAATCTATCCATTAACTAAAAATCTGTAAGGAACTGCGTCAGTTCAAAGATACAACATATTTATAAAATCTTTGGTATGTACAATCTAGTTATTTTCACACAGGGACATAGTAGTACTTCCAAAACTGACAGACGAAGGCTACCGGATCACGATATTCAGAATACGAGCGGAGTACCCTGAGAGCTCGGCAGACGTCGCTAATGCAGTTCGAGCGGTCCTCCTCACCAGTGACGTCAGAATGTACGATGAACATCAAATTGCAGGGGATGTATTTATTTATGAGGTTAGTAGAGACCCTAAAAGTACTAGTACCTACTAGAGTTAAAGATGACAAAGTCATTTTGCTTGGTATATTGCAGGTATCTAATGTCCGCGGCTCGATCGTAGCTCACGTAGCAGCTGCAGCAAATGCCGTGAGACGGTCCATTCAGCTGGCACAGGCTGCATACCCTCAGAGACTCAAGAGGATCCATGTGGTGGGCTCCCCGCCATTCCTTGCATCCTCACTCGCACTCATGCGCAACTGTGTTAACGAAAAGATCAAAAGACGGGTAAGGATTTTCTCATTCCAATATCAGAGAGTTTATTCATAGACCTACTTAGTCCTAGCACTTCTAACCACAGATTCTAACAAGAACATAGATAATAATAATTATCATTGTAATCTTATCAAGATTTCCATTTAGACTATCCTATGATGTAATAATTGCTAGTCGTGTACATACGGAAACTGCCGCCTCCACATAAGGAAACAGCTGAATGCGGACTGTTAACTTACAATCTGTTTAACCACACTTATTTTAAAGTAGCATATTACCGTCAAACAAATAATTGTTTGTCTGTCATAGTCAACTAAAATAAGGTCGACGAACGGTCATGTAGCATAATTTCGCAATATTGTATTTAATGAATAATGTTGATACGTTTTTCCACAGTATTACTTACACCCGAAAGTGGAACAACTACTGGAACATATTCCCGCACAAGTGTTACCGAGGGAATGGGGAGGGGAAGAAGAAAACATCGATACACTTGCGAAGAAATGGAGACGTCGTATCGATGAGGTCAGCCCCTACTTGCGCATCTTTAACGAAGCCTGCAGCACTGCGAAAGTACCCAGCAACGATGTCGACATTTACGGCACAGTAGGAGCTTTTAGGAAACTCGATATCGATTAACATTGTACACTACAGCACTAGGAATTTTAGGAGCTGACGACCTACTCTGTAGGTAGTATTTGGTGGTCATATGTGGTTGAATGAAAAGTTCATTAATTAATTCAGGGTGCGTATGAACTCTACGCTAAAGAACTTACCTAGTAGGTAGGATAAGTCGTGTCAGCCTGAAAGCCAGTGTGACATTATAATAACAATATTGTTTAGTTTAGTAAATAAATAAATAGGAGTTTATTATTTAAGGTATCAATAGATTAAGGTAATCTACTTTAATACTTTTGTAATTGTGATATTTTGGGATTAAATACTTGCTCTTAACATGTGGGGGCAATATATTATTTGATTGTCTTTAATTTTAAATATTCTAGATAAATTGTAAACGTACTTTAAAGTTATTTCCCACAGCCGGTGTCCGTAAACCACTGCTTAACAATAATAACTTAATTAACGGTCTCTGATTGGGGTGACGCCAACTTGGTTAAATTCAACGCTAGCAAAACCCAGGCGTGTCTATTCTCTGCCAAACGGAGTCAATTTCTGCTTACTCCTACTTTCCGGAATGTATCCGTTCCGATAACTGATCATCTTGAGCTTCTTGGCGTGACTTTGACACCCACAATCAACTTTGGGTCCTTCCTATATAGAGTCAAAAGCGCAACTGGCTGGTAGGAGGTTGGGTATCCTATGGAGAGTGAGACGGTACTTCACACCGAAACCATTCCTGAGTCTGTACCAAGCACAGGTTCAGTCTTGTATGGAGTACTGCTCTCATCTTTGTGACAACTCGGCCAAATATCAGCTGGATGCGTTAGAGTACATTGAGTGGCGTGCCAAAAGGCTCATCAACGATGATGCGCTTGTGGAGGCCCGGCTTCAAAGCCTCGAACACAGGCGCAAGGTTGCAAGCCTTTCAGTCTTCTACCGTATACATTTCGGAGCAAGCACAATTTGATTCCCCCTAGTCCTTTCCATCATCGTACCACAAGACAATCAGCGACGCGTCACCGATCCATGGTAGATGTCCCACCGACACGCACGTAGCGCTTCGCATCAAGCTGCCTTGTGCGTACTGTTAAGGAGTGGAATTCTTTGCCAGTGTCAGTATTTCCTGAAGGGTGTCTTCAAGACCCAAGTTAATAGGTTGCTTATGGGTCGACGTGCTCCATCATAGGCCACATCATCGCTTACCACCAGGCAAGATAGCGGTCAAACTTCAGTCCCAACTAATATAAAAAAAAAATACGTGCGGCTTTTCATTTCCAGTTTAAGTTTTA